TACATATTTTGAAATTAAATAAATATAGCTTATATATTTTTTTGGTTTGTATATGGCTATACGCCACTTTTATGTAATATGTTGTTTTTGATTTTTAAGTTTATCGAAATTAAAATATTTAATTTTAAACTTTAACGCAATTATACTTATAAATTTTATTTCGATATAACCTATTCAACAGTCATTTAGTAAATGTAATTGAACATTTTTATAGTGTATTTTATATAATAAATCATTTAATACATTTTGCTTTCTTATATTTATTTGAATTATTAATTTAATTATGAAACAATAAATCACTGAATTAAATTATAGAACAATGAAAACTCAATTATGTTTTATTTATCGTTTATTAGAAACTAAAAATACGGAAAAAAGTTAGTATATTTGATTATTATTAATCAAATATTTTTAGCTAGAATATTCTGAAAATAAAATTTTTTACATTCAAGTAATTTAATGTAGTATTTTAAACTCCAATAAAATTATTTTAAATAATACAATTATTTTTAAAAGTTTTTTCAATTGTTAATAAAAATGTTTTCCTTTAATTTTTTTTAATTGTTTGAACTATTAAATATTATTTAAATATAGGTACACACTAAATAGATTTCTATTTTTAACTTAAAAGATTTAGATGTTTTTAGGAAAGTTGATTAAAAAATAATAAAATGGATCATTCGAATTGTTTTCCAGTGCAGATTATAACTGTAGTTTATATGGAACACGACAATTTCTCTTGTAGATTTATACGAACAACAATCACGCTAAGTCTATTTCCATTTCAGATCTGTCAGTATAATCTATATATACACATTACCTTTAATTAACCTAGTGTACAGCTAAATTATTCTGAAATAAATGAATGAAAAAGTATACACTAACATTCGCCGTCATTAGCAAGTAAAAGTGACACTTTTATTAATGGAATGGTATAAATAATGTTTTGGTGTTTATAATTAGTTTTGTGGTGGGACAAGTAAATTTGATTAGTTGGCATATGCGATTAAACATTTAAGATGAAATGTTTAAAAATACTTTTACACAAGAATCTGAAATGTTAATAAAATGTTAACACCCGAAACGAAGACAACGTTTCGTACTGAAAATTAAATTGGTTTTGTTTATCGAGATAACGCTTACATCAAATATTTAGTTTTAATTTTATGGAAATGCACAGTCTAGACTCGAGAATTAGTTAATATTATATGATTTAATAAATGAAACGATGTTATATATAAACTGAATGTTTATATATAACATCTGTAGCCTGTAACTTCTCTATTTAAAGAGTATTTTAAAACAAAATATTTAAAAAAAATCCGAAACACTTCTTAAGATAAATAAATGTATATAAACATAAGTTCATATAATACGATAAAATATGGATGCACCGTAAATCTGAAATAATAGCACTAAATCATTAGTTAAAAGCAGGTGTGACAAGTGACCTACTTATTAAAAACTAATTATTTTAGGATGCTCTAGAATGATGCATTATTTTTCTCTGCTCCACATTTTTGACTCCTTATCATTTTCTATCTGCTCATTTCATCTATAGTTATATCTTGATGAAGTGCGTGTCAACATATATATTGATATATGAAAGAAATATCATTGGTTATTTTTAGTTGATAATTTTTCTAGTAAACACACTTTTAATTCTGGTTGACAAGCGAAACTTCTACTGTATCGATTTGCAGTTGAAATATCGTCACGCGTGTTTGATATTGATAGTATTTCGCCTGCGGCTAACGTCCAATGTTTGTGTAGCTTTTCTTTAGTTTGAAATTACCCCTTGGTTCTGTTACACAGGATGGATTTTGAAGTTACCATCTACATTTACAAAATTGATTTTTTGGATTTTTAAATATTTTCTTGACAAACTAAGATTGATTTTGTTATTCTTTTGAGGCGACGTTAATCAAAGAAGTTTGCATAACTTTAACAGCACTAAGAATTGATAGCAGCTGTATAAAATGCATAAATGGAACAGAGTTGTTTGATCTGGTTCCTTTTATACATATATGATGGGTATTCAAGCGTAGGTTTTGAAATTTTCTCGTTTTTATTTTATTGAATGAAATGTCTGATTTTTATATGTTTGGATTTCTTCCAATATTTATGTTGCGTTTATGAAATTCTTTAGGAAACTTATTATTTGTTTTTTGATATTTATCTTAGCAAATTTTATATGGGCTATATATGTGNTTCTAATCTTAATTTATTAATATAATCTAACATTAGTGTGCGAAATGTTTAAATGAAGTAATCAAGAATTGACTTCCATTATTATAATATATAAAATAACAATTTAATAGTATGCAAATTACGGAATATAAAATACGAACTCATATAGCTTTAGGTCTTCTTTATAACTTTATAATACTTATAACATTTTATGATGATAGAGAATAGTAAGTATAAGTGTTTATGATAAGATTACATTTATTTTTCTATTTTATAAGTGTTTGAATTAATCGTTCGAAATTATTTTAAAATTCATTCGAAATGTAATTTAAAGTGTATAAATATCAAAACCAATCATTTTTTTTTGTTTTGAGTTTATTAAGTATTCTTTATGTAAACATTTCGAATTAAAAAATTATCAAATAAGAACGTAGATTTCTCTACAAAGGTTATTTTATTCTTTATTGAGTTTGCTTTTAATAAACAATTTATACACTTTTTTGCTCTTGACTAATTTTCTATAAATATATAGTCGAGTTACTATTATCAACATAGATATAATAGTTGAGTTTTTTAATACAGAATTCAGTTATATTGTTTTTTGGAAATAAAAATAATTCATTCTTTGGAAACAATTTATTATCTACCAAACATGACATTAAAAGTTAAATTCAAACATGTCGTCTTTATTCTGAAATTTCTCCTTAAGGATAAAATAGTTAAATATTTTTACATTTGATACGACATTCTGATTTAACTTATTTTTATAATTTGAACAATTATACTTCCTTTTAGATTTATTTCCGAATGAAAAATGTCTAAGAAATAATAAGTTAGATATATAAGGCATCCTTTCACTATATAATTTAATTTTGTTATTTTACTGAAATAAGACGCTAAATATTGAACTTAAGAAACTCATTTTTCCAGCTAGTTATTTTATTTGCAATATTTACATTTAAATATAAAAATGTATTTTCAGTTAACGCTAGAGAAGGATGAATCAAGCAAGTATAGCAAGTATTTAAATTATAAATTTATGTATGGTATGCTGGTTGCAGATGATAATCGTTTTTCAGGAATTTTGACAAATCACATGTAGGCCTGTTTATAGTTTAAGAAATTTTAGAATATACTTTGTTTAAAACATATTAAAAATATAAAAGTTAAAGGTTTCATATAATTTTGAGAAACTTACATTCATATGTTAGAAAGCGTACACATATTTCGTATATAAGACATTGATATCAATTTCACATAAATATTTACGAGGTTAAGTATTGAGAATAGCAAATAAAAAAAATTTCTTTTAAAGTTGAAAAAAATTAACATAGGTAACACTAAAACAACTTTTTAAAACAGTATTATCTGATATTTATTTTTACCTGGAAAATAACTATAAATTGACTATCATGTAATATATCACTAACACCGTTTTTTGAGATTTTTTTTTCATATTAATGAATCTGGTGAAATTCAATTTTTATTATTTTTAAATTGAAGACAAGTTTTGATGTAGAAAACTATTTACTATTCATTTGCTAACATTTATTGTCATTTTTAAACTTCAAAGTATTTTAAATGTTTATATATCAATTTAGAATATATAGTCAGTCAATACTGAAATAAAATAGTTTGTGTTTATTTAGGTTAAAACACGCTTGTTAATTGTATATATTTTAAGTATAAAACTCTTGATAACGCAAATGAACGTAAAAATTTTTTATCATCATCTATTGAAAATAAATGTTTCAAGATTTCAAAGTATTTGAATGACATTATTACTATTTTGATTTTAAAAATTGTTCAAATTTCGTTACAATATTTTTCTAATCTTAATTTATTAATATAATCTAACATTAGTGTGCGAAATGTTTAAATGAAGTAATCAAGAATTGACTTCCATTATTATAATATATAAAATAACAATTTAATAGTATGCAAATTACGGAATATAAAATACGAACTCATATAGCTTTAGGTCTTCTTTATAACTTTATAATACTTATAACATTTTATGATGATAGAGAATAGTAAGTATAAGTGTTTATGATAAGATTACATTTATTTTTCTATTTTATAAGTGTTTGAATTAATCGTTCGAAATTATTTTAAAATTCATTCGAAATGTAATTTAAAGTGTATAAATATCAAAACCAATCATTTTTTTTTGTTTTGAGTTTATTAAGTATTCTTTATGTAAACATTTCGAATTAAAAAATTATCAAATAAGAACGTAGATTTCTCTACAAAGGTAATTTTATTCTTTATTGAGTTTGCTTTTAATAAACAATTTATACACTTTTTTGCTCTTGACTAATTTTCTATAAATATATAGTCGAGTTACTATTATCAACATAGATATAATAGTTGAGTTTTTTAATACAGAATTCAGTTATATTTTTTTGGAAATAAAAATAATTCATTCTTTGGAAACAATTTATTATCTACCAAACATGACATTAAAAGTTAAATTCAAACATGTCGTCTTTATTCTGAAATTTCTCCTTAAGGATAAAATAGTTAAATATTTTTACATTTGATACGACATTCTGATTTAACTTATTTTTATAATTTGAACAATTATACTTCCTTTTAGATTTATTTCCGAATGAAAAATGTCTAAGAAATAATAAGTTAGATATATAAGGCATCCTTTCACTATATAATTTAATTTTGTTATTTTACTGAAATAAGACGCTAAATATTGAACTTAAGAAACTCATTTTTCCAGCTAGTTATTTTATTTGCAATATTTACATTTAAATATAAAAATGTATTTTCAGTTAACGCTAGAGAAGGATGAATCAAGCAAGTATTTAAATTATAAATTTATGTATGGTATGCTGGTTGCAGATGATAATCGTTTTTCAGGAATTTTGACAAATCACATGTAGGCCTGTTTATAGTTTAAGAAATTTTAGAATATACTTTGTTTAAAACATATTAAAAATATAAAAGTTAAAGGTTTCATATAATTTTGAGAAACTTACATTCATATGTTAGAAAGCGTACACATATTTCGTATATAAGACATTGAACAAGAATAGTTTCAGATAGCAAATATTAGCTGTGATAAAATTAATTTGCTTTTATGAAAAATTTTTTATCTAATGCAAAATTTTAGGATTAATTAATATTCGCAGTAATGTAAATATACTTACTCAAATACATGCTGCAGCCACTGAAATAAGATTGTGATTAATTCAAAATCGACGAGAAGTAAAAACTGAATTATTAAAAATTCCTACTCCAAAATTAGAATTCTAATTAAAAAAATTATACTGTAAATTTTCGAAATAAACGCACGATACTGTGTTTGAAAAAGGTGCTATGTAACAAGAAAAACTGCCAACCAAAAACGTAGAATTTCTTCCAATAATACGAGAAACTAGCAACAAAAAGTAGTATCTTATTTGATATGCTTTCTTCGTTTCTCGATATTGAATGCACTCGTAGCCTATGACTGTTCGGTTATATATATTGACTCTAATCAAAATAAGTCTATCATTTTCACAAAGTAATTGGCATTTAACGGAGGTTGACGACTTCGGTCAAACTTAACGCAAAAATAGTATTGTCTTCCGAATAAAATGATTGTTTTGAACGTTATCCATACTTTTTTGTATATATTTACAGATATACTTGGCTCGATATACAGTCTCGTTTTCAGATAATGCTATTATATTTTATTTTCTGTAATCAAAGCGAATTACTTATTAAATTTGATTGATTAAAAAGTCATTAATTGAAAACCGATTAGGCTAACGTGTGACACTGTGCTAATTATCATTTGAATTTGAAATTGTTTTTCGATTAATTGTTAGATCTTATCTATTTTGTAATTTGTTCTTTTTATAGGGTAATATTAGTATATATGAGCTTTCATTGATGTGCGAAGATCCATTTAATAAATAATAACAATGAATACATGTATTTAGTTTAAATTTTAATCATTATTTTCGTAAATAAAAATAATTTTACTTTACTTTTTGAACGTAAATTATGTTCAAGTTATTCTTTTAGTTAACAAATATTTAGATAAAAGAACAAAACATACACAGTATTATTAGATGATTATATTAAAAATTCGTTTTTATAGCAATTATCGTTAACATTGTATAATGATTATTAACAGATTAAAGACAGATAGAATATTATGTATTAGTTCTTAATATTTTTAAATGTCACATAATAATTTAAGTTTACTATTATATCGAGTTAAAGGATTTTTTTAATAAATAAATTACATTTTTTACGATATATTTCGAACTTTTAGTAATGAATAAGGCCAATCATAAATTAAAAATTGCAAAAGAAAATAGAAAAAGATATTCATCTAAATTGTATTTTTAAAATAGTGATCGTTCTTTTATTTCTGTTGAATCATTATTCTAGAATCATATTGTATTAACATACATTATGGGACATTTAGAGCATTAAATATTTTATTTGATCTTATCAGTGATTTTTTTTTCTTTTGGTCGTTTAAGAATCATATGTTAATGCATTATTGCATATTTAAGGGCATTAACTAAATGATGATATATAATACCTGCATTTTAAAACTGTTATCGCAACTTTCTCGGTGTTCAACGAAAAATAACTGCGACACCATGAATCCAGAATATGGCGACAGGTAGTCGGGAAACTAAACTATTATTCTTGGTTACATTGTTGTGATGCGTTCTAATTGAATTTTGTTTCGTTTCTGGATTGTTTGTCGTGACGTCAATTCTGATTATTATCTATTTAATGTTTTTATTTTCTTTTGTTGTTAAAATTGTTGACAGTTTCTCAAATTCTAAAAATTAATTTAATTTTATAATACATACATCAATACTTAATAGCAGTTATAGATTAGATATCTTCATTCTCTTCATTATCTAAAATTGATAAAATTTTAGATAAGGTGGTCTTCAATAGCAGCATCAACATTAATATAGATTGTCATAAAGATTGTTATCGGAATAATTTAATTATTTTACTTACAATTGAATTTCTTCATTTCAAAATAATCATATTTTCTTTTGATATATTCACTTATTAGATCTTTATCGAAAATATCTTTTTATCACAGAATAATTTTATAACCATAAAGCAAAAATACGTAAAGCAATTTATTTTTATTGAAATAAATTGTAAGTTACATAAGAAATAACATATACAGTATATCTGTTCTAAATAAATAAATTTAAATATATTGATAATATGTACACTTGAATTTATACAGTAAAACCTGTCCAAAACGAAACCGGAATAAAAAGGAAACCTGCCTAAACAGAAAAAGTTCTTTGTAACGGAGCAATTTTCTATATTAAAAAAACCTGTTTAAAACGAATCAAACCAGGAAAAAATATTCGGTGTCATGCGATTTCAGTTTACACAGGTTATATAACCTGTATATCGTTTTGTAAATTAGTTTTTACATCAGGTGACAATTTCTGATGTAAAACTGTTTTGAATAAGTCTATATTTTGACAAGTGTTAATGATGATGATAAATAATCTTAAATCTTATTTTTCACTTTTAAACTTTGTTATAATGAATCGAATAACAGCAACGTGATATATGCAGCTAAAAGGAAATTCAATTATACAGTGTGTTCCTCGAGGTAGTGACAATATTTCTACAGCATGTTTTAGTCCTAGAGGATTCAAAAATGTCCTATAAACATAGCCATCAAATGCATTGTTTCAGCGCTACAAGAGGTTAATGTTCGGACCAGCTACTGTTTTAAATACTGTTCTGTTGCACTTCCAAAGCGCGGTGAGGCTTTTCCGCAGTGCTTCTAAGTACTGCGGAGAAGTCCTACTCTCGCTGCCCTTCAGTTCTGCTATACTAAAGAGCGAAGAAATTGAAGCGAACTTTTAAGTTTATGCAAAGACGAAATACAGACACTAAAAATTAGTAATCCGTGGTTACTCTTTAAAGAGAAACATTATTACAGTTACAAGAGTTTTCCCATTTATTTTAGATACGGGTTTTCTTGCCTTCTAGAACCATCGAAACAATAAAAGCCAAGAAGTTTCTGGTTTTCCAAAACTGCGACACATTAAAAATCTTTTTAATGTTTGTATTTCTTTTTGCAATAAACATTAATTTTTTGGCTCTTTAATACAACACAGAAGCTGAAGGCAGAGATTGATTCTTTTTCTCAGCTCTTGTAGTACAGCAGAACAAAATTTTAAGGGATAGCTAGTCTGAACTTTTAATTCCTTCTAGCGTTGAAACAGTGCGTTTGAAGAGCTATGTTTATAGGACATTTTTTGGATCTCCTAGACCGTTTGAATGAACTGTAAAAATATTGGTACTTTCTCGTGGAACATCCGGTATAGACATTAGAGAGATTTATTCAAATCATAACGGAGGGGGGTCAAACAGAATATTATTTATGTACACCAGTGTTCAAAATTAAGGCAACAAACACAAATTGTAACATATCTGGAAAAATATTTAGTAAATCGGGGCGAAATTTTGTATATGGTTACTTCATGCCTTGAGGGAGTCATATCAAATGAAAACAAAAGAAAATTTTTAGAGATACACGTTTTGATATCTAAAACATGAGGTAGCAGGTTCCCAGAAAAGCGGCAATTAGGGACTGTGATCACCCCTGATAGTTGTACAGCACCCATAATGGACAGTAATGCTGTTGACGAGGTTCTGGAGAAGGCTTTGGGATAATAAAACTCTTCCACGAGCGAATTTTAGCTCATGGCTGATTCTGGGAAGGGACTGATGATGTAACGACCCACCCAGAGCATCCCAGACATGATTAAACAAATATACGTTCAGAGATCACTTCATCCCTTCAACGAAATCCGTACCCAGCTGAGGTCTGGGGCTTAATATTGTCGCCCATAAAAAATGAACTGGGACCGATGGCACCTCGAGAAAGCCTCACATATAACTTACTGATCTCATCTCTGTAGCGCTGAGCGGTCAAAGTTTCTCTTGAAAACGTGCAGGGGCATGTGACCATACAACATGATGCCTCTCTATACAAGGACATCACCTTCACCATAAGGGTTGTTTTCCTTGATGTTTGAGTGTTGGTAACGTGTCCTACGCTCTCTCCAGATGATAATGCGTCGAGAATCGGTTTGAAAACTATCTTGACTCATCTGAGAACATAACAAGGTCCTACTGGTTCTGTTTCCAGAGATGATGCTCAGAGCACCAGGAAAGATGGGGTTCTCCTATGGGAAGAGCTGGTAGAGAGATACACTACTGGTTGTCTAGCATAAAGTTCCTTCTCTGCTAGCCGTCTATACACAGTTTGCCTCGATACCGATGTTCCAATAGCAGCCGCGAGCTCACGAGAGAGCTGCCTGGCTGTCGTCTTTATGGCGCAGGGCTGTTAAACCCAGTTGATGGTCTTCATGAGGGGTCGTTGATCTTGGTCGACCTTGTCCTGCTTTATTGATAATGGTTCCTGTATCTCGTAATTGTTTCCACAGCATGTACAACAGTTTTTTGGACATCTGTAACTATCCGACCACTTCTGCTTGGGACTGGCCTGTCTACTGATTGCCCTCCATCTCAATGCGTTATACGAACGATGGTATAGTGTTATTTTTTTTTTTTTTCAAAATTTGATTGACCTGACCACAATCAATACTCAAAAATAGTCGAATCACAGATTTACGGAACTCCCATTTTTCTTTAGCTTCGTAATTTGCATGTTTCTTTAGTTGCCATTTTCAATTGATTATAATAATACAATTCGTTGTTTAAACTTATAGAAATATATATAACTTTTACTAGTAGCGGTTTCGATTTATTGTGCAAAATATCTGTCTTAATTTTGGACATCAGTGTATATCTCATACATATTACTTATAAATATTAAAATACAGGTATTTTTCTCAAAATAATTTTGCGCTATACTTCGGAAAATAATTGATTTTAATTTATAAATCCAAAATTATCTAAAACTTAGATTCAATCCTAGTTTTCTTTTGAAACTTCTGTTCAGAATGAAAATATTCCGACGACGCAACTTACAGAACAATAGAAAATAGCAAAAACAGTTGTCCAACTGGAAAAATGTTAACACGAAATAAACGAGAAATGGTTTGTGTTCCTACCCAAAGCAGTAGTGTATTAATAAATACATACATTCAATTACAAATGATTTTCTTTTTTGATATGAAGTTTGTTTCTCTTTCGTTACTTCTCCATTCCATTGATTTGAAATGGAATTTGTGTGTTAACATTTTTGCAAAAAGAAAAGAAATGAACTTCAGTAAATTACTCCCCACACAAATATGCATTAGTTCTTTATATATAATGACAACTGTTATGAAGTTACCAATTTAATTGCATTTAATTCCTTGCATTTGCCTTTAATATTTTTATTAGATTATTTATATTTTTATTATTAACACCTTATCTGTTTGTAAGCTTCGAATTAATATTTATGCGAAAATGCTTTTTTTTTTTGTTGTAATTACTTAAGTTATTTAATTTTTGTTGTGTAAACTTCCGAAAACATCATTTAGAAAATTATTTCTTTAATAAAAAGATTAACTTGTTTAATTAAAAATTGTATTTTTAAGTTATATTTGAAAAAAAAATTATAACTGAGTTTTCGATATTAATAATTTCAGAATATATTATTTTTGGAAATTTAGATAACATTTCGTAACTTGCGATTCATCTCATATGTTATAGGATGAATCCTACAGTAGTGATTTATTTGGATTTTATGTAAGCTTTGATATCCTACTTGATGATAAGATCTTTTTTAAAAAATGATGATAGAATTATTTATTGAATTTTGTATTATATTAGAAATAAAAGGATTTATATAATCTGCTTATTTATATTAACTTTGATTAATTATTCACCTTATGAGAATATTGATTTTTGGATGAAAAATATGCATTTCTTACAACAAATCTAGATTTTTGTTAACGTTGTTTGTTTCTGTATTAATAAGTAAACTGAATAAGGTATTCGATTTAAAGGTTGAATTAAATATCTTTTTTAAATTATAAATTGTGTATTGCTTTGCAATTACAATACTTTGTTTTCATTTAGCAAATAATGTGTGTTTAAATTTTTTGTTTGCTTTTATGATGTATTGATTAGCTTAATTATTTCGCAGTTTTAAAAATTTCAATTATATTTTTTGTTATTTTATGAATAAAATGCATAATATTAGAGGTTTGGTGATTCAGACTCAATAGATTTTAATGAAAATCTTGAAACTTTATTTTCGGTTTATTTAATTAGAGATTATAGATAAACTGAATATGTAATATCAGTCAATCATTAATTTATTAAATCTGCATTCATCTCGTTTTTATCACACCAAATCAAATAGAATTAAGCCGATTTCTGTGTTTTAATTTGAGGTGTGTTATTGTGTGTTAACGATGTGTGATCGAATTTTGCTGAATGCAGTTATAACGAAGTGTGTTAAAAATGTTATTAAATTTGAATATTTGGGTTAGTGTGATGCGAGATATATAACTGCGTTATTTTTTAATGATTAAATTTTTAATTCTAATAGAAAATATACTTGTAAAGTTTCTTTTACATTCCGAATTTAAGAGTTAAATTTTATTTGTTTTAATGAAACAGTTTAGTGAAATTTTTTAATTGACGTAATATAAGAAGTAATCGGATTTTACCAATATTGTTTATAATTGATTATAATAAATATTTTATAGTTTTTTTGATAACTACGTTTTCATAACAAATTTTAAGTTTTTCGATATGATATATAGAAACGATGGCCAAACTGCGACATTCCTAGACCTTTCCTGCGGCTCCCATAAATTCTTATGCATTTTTTTATAAACTTGAGACACAAAATATTACAT